TATATTGTAGATAAGCATCGACAACAGGAATTTGAGGACGAAAGTCGACCTTATAAAGCTTGTTCTTTCGTAACAACTATGCAGGAATGATACCTTTGGGGGTTTAGTAGATTGATCAATCTTAACAACATTCGCGGCTGAAGCAGTCAGGTTTGGAGAAAAAGCGCAAACATACTAGGGATTGGATGCCAGGAAGTTGCGAAAACCATTCGAATCATCAGGCCTGTAACGCCAGGATGTGTGACGAGAAGGAAATGTTGTTGTGAAAGTGTTTGAAATCCAAGGGCGTCGAAGTTAATGAAAAGTGAACGATGTAGGCGCTCTTCTCTGGGAATATCAAGATCAAGAGCGGTGATTGGTGCTAAATGGTAATCGAACACACCAGTGTTGAATACAAATGATGAATAACGTATATAGTGAAGAAGCAGGAAATATGTAAGACCTCTTGAGGGTGATAATTGGATCTCGGTCGGAGATTCAAGTTAGTGTTCATTTTAAACTGCAGATATTGGTGAAACCAAGTTGATACCGGGTGCTGGTACGAGCATGTGAAACGGTGTAGAAATCCCTCATTTTTTTACGAAACAGGAGGCTTTAACCCTGGGGTTGCAAGTGGCGTCCAATGAAATGTCAATAGGGAGAGCTTATTGCGCATGACGAAGAAGGCGCTGCGTACCTTCACTTGTAATTTTATAACTTAACGGAATAAATTTCTCATAGACAGAAGTACATAATCATCATTTCGTTGCGAGCAGTTTACTATCCACTTTTGAGAAATTGAAGAACAGACACTAACTCACTGTCATTATTAGCTATACCCCTCCCGTGATTTGTGTCCCGCTATCTTTGCGTAACTTTCGGATCTCTAATCTTAAAAATCTTTGAGTTTGTCTATCAGCCATTAACGATAGTTTCGCGTTAGTTGGGTTCTAAAGACGTATCCAACATCACTCGGTTTTTCTTTTTCGAGGGTTCATACCTTGCCTTTGCACAACCAAGCACGGCCCCCTAGGTAGCAGTGCGTTGTTGCATGCCGGTNCCTCTGGGAGCTCAATTGATTTTCAACTGGTGTAGATTCGTCTCAGGGATCTATGTATCCGTGCTGGTTGGACAGGTTATATTTATGATCTTTGAATCAAGCAGTAGATGTCATCCACCCTGTCAAAAGTCACTATATTCGCATGTCGTGCGCCTTTTCTTCGAGGTGTTACAACTCTGTTACCCTCGACCCCGTTTAACCCGCCTATCTAGTGATTTACCAGAGTATGATCAGCTTCTTGGGACCACATTTGAGAGTTGGGCAAGTAATGAAGACCTGCAGTTGGCGAATGTCCTAGGGACATGCTAGTCGGCCAGCTTATGGGGACCAGTCCTTTCAGACACAAATTGCATCCAAATCACATTAGACTGATGAGGTGGTATGATGTGGATCACAGTACCTAGTCAGGCCATTCGAATAAAATGTAAGTTATTTTCTTCTTACCTAAAGTGAGTTTTTTCTTTCACTTTGAAGCAATCCATCAGTTTTCCTTGTCTCACACCACAGTGTTAAGTTGATGCATCAACTAACACTTGTCTTTCAATTTGATTACAACTCGTAACGGGGATTCTGCCGATTCCACCGCTTCCACACGTGATCTTTTATTCCGAGTGAATGTCACCTGACTACTTGGGTGTCTGTATCCCATAATCGTGTTATGCTACACATCCGTCGAGTTTTATTATCCTGTTATTTATTTACCAAAACACGTGAGTAACGATCACAGATAACTGACCCTTATGGTCACATGACGTGTTTTCCGCAGCGTTGATAACACTGCATTACAACACTTCGTACAGCTACACGTTCTCCGTGCATACAATCCTTTCACTTATGAAAATTCCGCCTCACCCTCGTGCATTGAGATGTGATTTAAATGAGAAACGAGCTTTTCTTGAGCCATGAAATTAGATCACATGCTTCAGATAAACTTATTCTCAAGCAGTTGGGGCACCGGTGCAAAAGTTGATCCCTTCTAGAACCCTTACCAGGGTCAAAAGCAGATTATGAGACATTTTGAATCGAATTCTAATGGCCTTTTAAATGACTTTGCCATTAGACACACCAGTAGGGGTAGAGAAAACATGCACGGGGAAGGAAAACTTTCCTCTTCTGTTCTAACTCGGACCAACGTCCTCGGGCTACTTGACAAACGTGATGAGCTGGAACAGTGGGTGATATCCAGCAAACGAGACCTTCTTAGCCATTATTGAGGCTGACATTAGACGTCAGAGATTCCGGGATAATGCTGGATATTTACTTTCTGTACCGAAAGGATCAAATATCGTCACGCCATGTATGCTGGGTTGCTGTGTTCATCCTGAGGGAGTTGACGAATGAACTAGCAGTGCCGTCATCTCGTCTGTTAAATGTGTCTTTTGCACAAGAACGGTTACCGCGAAAGTGGAAGGATGCTGTCATTGTGCCACTACCCAAAGTTGGAGACAACAGCGCCCCGAGAAAATACCGGCCGAGCAGTGACAGAACAACTGATTACTGCATGGCTTCGGCAGCACTCAATGTTCTATTTCCACAGGCGTTTCCAACAGCACAGTTTCCGTCCGGAACACTCATGCCTACGAACTTGCTCCTGGTTTGCGAATGCTGGACTGAGGACGAGGTCAAATGACGCGATGCGGACTTGAGCAAGGACTTTGACAGGATTTCAAACATTTACCTCCCGGGAAAGCTTACCAACATTGGAGTAGGTGATTCCATGAGATGACTGCAAAATTTCTTCACTGATAGAAATTGCTGTGTCCGTATAGCCAGGTCGCTATCCACCTGGTATTCGGTCTCCATTGGGTTGCCCAAGGCTCTGTTCTTGGTCCTCTTCTGCTCGTGGTCTACGCCAATAACCTGCTGGGACGCCTGTGCTGCATACGGATATACATATGTGGTGTACGGTGGGGTTCCTTAAGATCGAAAATTACTATAAGAGTATGTGAACACCTTGCCTCAATGAGCGGATGCCTGGGTTCTTCCGGTTAGTATTGCTAGATGTGTTTACTTGCACCTGGGGCATACTGATTCGGGGGTGGTTTACGGCTTCCAAGGGACCGCATTGCGCCATCTAGTTTGCTTGCTGGGAGGTACCTGTGCCATCGTTTTCTGCAACTATCGATTAGCATGTTCTATTGTCATTGTTCTCGTAGTGGCTATCGAGTGAGACTTTTGTTATCTTCATTTAAAGACACGATTGCGTCTAGTCTTATCCTTAGTATGATCGCAGTTGCAAGTGTGAAGTTTGTCTTGCTATGGTTTGGTTATCTGTCCAAATGGGGTTTAAAGTTAACGCGTTTTTTCCTCACGACTATCTCTTGCTAGAGAGTGACTTAGTTTACTGGACACCCATGAGTAGCAGCTTTCTGTAGTTG